ACAACAACACTCACGTTTTGTCACCTTGGACACTGTCAAAAAATAATTTGTTTTTTGTTTTTCCAAAAAAAAAAAAATCAATTTGCGTCTGTCCTACCAAAAAAACCAATAGGATAAATAATTAATGTGTACACGTCGATCAAATAACAAACTTCTTTTTTCTTTATTTTTTTCTGCAAAAATGCCACGTAATAAAATTAAGAATAATAAAAGAAGCAAAGGAAATGAAGAAGAATTTGAAAGAGGGTAAGTGTTTTAAGGATGGTGGTAGTGGTGGTTGTCGCCCGCCACTTGATGTCACTCTAGTTGTTACTCTAGTTAAACTTTAATTTTAATTATTAAGCATGGACAAATCGTCGTCATCTACATCTACAACTACTGCCATTCCAAACTCTTTTGATCACTTTAGTGACAAATCAACCTCAACCTCAACCTCACCTTTATTATATCTTAATGATTCGTATCCTTCATATAAACAACAAATACTTAATCCAACTTATTCTAATCATTCTGCCTCTCGTTATTCATTCATCTCGGAAGATTCTGTTAATAATAACAACAACAATAATATTAAGAAAATTAGTACTAGTGCTATTATTAATTCCAATAATATTAATACTGACACTACACCTACCACCATTATTTCCTCTGCTGATAAATTCATTACTCTTCCAAATGAATTTATATTGATGATATTAAAATGCCTTGACATAAAGGACTTGTGTAAGATGCTTGGAGTATCTAAACGGTTTAAGATTCTAGGAGAAGAACAAAATATCTGGAAATTTTTATTTTTTAAAAAAGGTTTCATATTAGATAAGGAAGATGAAGGTAAATTTCGAAGTGGAAATTTCAAAGGGATTTGTTGTTGACACCATATCATAGAACAAAATTGGTTTAATGCCAATTATAAACGAATAACATGCAAAACTCCTAATCATGGCATTGTAAGGTGTTTCCAATTTGATTCTGAAAAAATAATTTCAGGATTAGATGACCAGTGTATATATGTTCATGATATAACTAGTGGTACAATAATCAATAAATTTGAAGGTCATAATGGTGGCATTTGGGCTTTGCAATATGTTGGTAAAACGTTAGTTTCTGGTTCAGCAGATGGAACAATTTGCATATAGAACCTTTCAAAAGGTGTGTGTACTCATGTATTTTCGGGACACACAAGTACTGTTAGGTGTCTTCAAATAATAACACCACAAAATGCAAATCCAAATCTAAATGAACTACCTGTTATGGAACCATCTTCTCCTATAATTGTAACTGGCTCAGATGATTCAACATTAAAAGTGTGGCATTTACCAAATCTTGAGGCAGATCTGTCATATCATTCTAATACACATTCATTACAATCTGATTAAAGACCAGTGCCGTAATCAAAAAAGGAAAAAGTATGGTTGCAAAAGTGGTTGCAAAGGTAATTGCAACCACTTTTTATATGCCGTAAATACAATTACTACCATCCTCATAATTTACGGCACTAGTCTTTAAATCTGATAGTGCTCAATCCAATGATAATTCTTATCTTCTTCATACACTTCAAGGACATAACCAATCTGTTAGTGCTTTAGCAGGGATGGGAAAAATTTTAGCTAGTGGTAGTTATGATCATACAATTAGGATTTGGAACACCATGACTGCTGAATGCCTCTGGAACCTACAAGGACATACTCAAAAGATTGATTCTGTTGTATTAGATACTAGAAGAGGAATATGTGTGAGCAGAAGCATGGATGGCACTATTAAAGTTTGGAGTCTTGAAGATGGTGTGACGCTCTATGTGTATAAAAGTACATAACATTTTATTATTATTAAAAAGTGTTTTTTTTTAGTGCTTTAACATAACTGACAAAATGTTTTTTGTTATTTAAGTATATTCTAGTTGTATTGACTTAAATATTTCAAAAAATCACCTGGTCTTTTGTGAATCTAACATTAGTCTTTATGCACAGAATCTGGATGATTGGTCAGCTGAAAAAACCATAGTTTGTACCAGGGTTGGCAAATTGACTGGTCCATTGAGAACAGATGGATTTTGGACTGGTCCATTGCCATTAATAGAATACTAAATATGGTTAAATTGTGGCACAGTATGGTAATGTATTATTTATATATTAATATATAATAATTATTTTAATTGAAACAAATTATACATTAATAGTTGATAAATTATAGCCAACTAGAATTTGATGAAAGGCGCTGTGCTGCTGCTCTAGAAAAGCATTTAGATATATATTATGAACCCATTATTACTACATGGTTTGAGATTTTGGATTTCGGAATATATAGGATAGAAGATCTCGATTCAACCTGTATAGATAAATTCGGCAATTGGATTGATAATAAATTTATGTATGGACGAAATTTACAAAATTAATAATAATATTTATTCAAAAGATTCTTATTATATACAATTTATCAAGATTAAAAAATAAACATATATGATTTAATTCGTGATACATGATAGAAGTAGATGATCGGCACATTTGTTAACAATAAAAAACGGGGTTAATATCTATTAATAAAAAGTCTCATTTTCTGAATCCAGACACACCCATATAAATCTTTATTATTCTTTCATATCTCAAATTTTATTTTTTTAATCAAACATACCTTTATATCAAATCGACTTTATAGCTAGCTGCATTCATATATTAAAAATTTTTTTTTGTATATTGTATATCTATTTAATGTCTAAACATAAAGAAGTTTTGCCAACACTTGCATCTCGAGGAATAATTGACTTTAATTTACACTATGGACCTTTTGCTCGTCACTGGTGGCATGAAATTTCTACTGAAAATGGCTCAGAATTTTACCCTATTTGTTTAGGCATGACAATTTAACTGAACTAAATAATAGAAAATTTTTGCTTTGTATTATTTCTACAAAAAACCAACTGCCAGGATATGTTTGTGAATCAGAACATATGTCTAGCAATATAGAAGCTACT